TGGTACCGTATATGATTTACATTATGACCCCTGGGTCGAGGCCTCTGCTGGTGGACTGTTAGTCCCCGAGGGTCTCTACAGCCCAGTAACCTAGTACTTTCGTACTGGCTTGAAAAATACGGATATAAATTTAATTTCTGTGGTAAAGTTTTCAAAATATATTTCAAAATTAAGGGATATCTCCCTCATGCATAGCTCTAATCCCTCAACGTATTTGGCTCTAGTCTTTGGGACCTTTTTCAGCTCTTCCAAGTTTTTTTTATTTAAAGCAATATGAGCTGCAGGGATGGGGTAATCGTAATCGAATAATCGTAATCGATTGTAATGATTACTTTTTTTCAAGTAATCGACAGTAATCTGTAATCGAAGAGATTTTCGATTACTTGTAATCGTAATTTAATCGATTACAGCTAAAATTTTCAATGTAATTATAATTACTTTTTCGATTACTTTCGATTATTTTATACATAAATGGAGGTTATTTTTGGAGAATTATTTCCAGTCAGTCACACATAAATATCAAATATAAACCACCTTGTGTAATGTTTGGATTTCCTAACTTTTATTATCATAAGTTTAGTAATTTTCTCAATAAAATTTGCATTTTTGGTCTAGTATTAAATAATTCAGAAGTTGTATTTCAACCATTTGTTAATAAAATATACAGATTTATTGTGTGCATTTTACTTTTGACCCACTGTCCTTTTGCTACATGTCCTTTTTCATATTTCAGATGTTGATAAACTTTGTCTTGTAATAGAAAATTATAAATAGCAAAAACAGATTTAAGTGCTGTATTTAATATAAATAATTTGGTAAATAAACTATATTGTACTCGAAGAAAGAAGATGGAAATACTTATTCATATCTGAAAATGTTTAAACAACTTCAAACTTGTGTTTTAGTAACTTTAAAATTTGCAAAATCTCATCTCATGTTTCCATTCAAAATTGTAAGGTTACTTTTATATCAGTGAGAGGTTATAAGCGATGATGGAAGAACAGCTTTGTTATATGTAAATAAGAATAGCTGGTGTTTTAAGTTTGATATCATTAGTGCATATCATCATATAGATATTTTCCCAGATCATAGAAATTTTTTAGGATTTTCTTGGAATTTTGATGGCGTTACTCGTCATTTTCAGTGCAGTTTTTTACCTTCTGGTCTTACTTCTGCACCATATATTTTTACTAAGCTTACTAGGTCATTGATCAAGAAATGATGCAGTGAAGGAAAGACCATTTTGATATATGTGGACGACAGGTTTGGTTGTCATCGTGAGTATAAAAAAGCTTGTGATATGTCCAGGCAAGTTCATGCAGATATTGTTTCATCGGGTTTTATACCTAAGGCGGAAAAATCTATGCGTGTACCTTGTCAAATTATAGAATTTTAGGCATATGTTTGCATTGTGAACAGAGCACTTTTCATATCCCTACATGTAGATTAGAAAAAGTAACAGATACTATCCTAAAAATTGATTTTTTTTTTTAAATTTCAATGTCTATTGTAACTGGTAATATTTCTCAGCTTATGACAAGATCTCTTAGCATTGATCTTTTATCTGCAACATCCTGGAAGAGCATGATATATTTGTCTGAAGAGAGTTTTAATCAAATTTTATTTTAGAAGAATGTATTAGAAAAAATTAATGACAAAGAAATTAAGTATATTTCAGGTTTTAATCGATTTTGATGATTGGGGAATAGTTCAAGGCCTTGCTGTAGAGAGAGTTTTAAACATCTGGAAAATTAAAGTCCGACTTTTTGGCCAAGAAGATTTAAAATTTAGAATGCTTGCAATTTTGTTTGATTTTAGAGAAAAGGTTCGATTCTCATATACAGAATGTTTTCATGTAATTTACCTGAATCAAGATTGCCAAAATTTGTACACATTGCTATGTAGCATAAAAGTTGGAATCAAGTTTGAAATCGAAACGTTACGACATTGTTTGTATCCACTTCATTTTAATTAACTGCGCATTTTGTGCAAAGAGTTCTTAGCATTAAAATTTTAAGTTAATTTTGAGGATGATTTATCGTTTGATCATTTGCACAATTGTGTGCTTGCCATTTGGCATAGATATTCTTATCAATTTTTGAAAATTTGATATAGATGACACGAATTCTGATTATTGAAACATAATTTGGTTGCTTACTTTATGAGTAATGCCATTTAAGCAAATTCCTATTTTGGGTTTATTATTATATATATTGGTATAAGTTTGAAAATGTCAAAAGAGTGGAAAAGGCCTATGGCAGAGTTATTAGTTTGATGAAAATAGTTCACTATCATTTAAACAGCTGAAACAAAAATACTTTTTGGAATTGTTTTAGTAAACTTGTTTTTAAGATTTTTGGAGAAGATTTATTAAATTTGCCGACAAAATTGCGAGAAGGTTCTTTCCTTCTATCGTTTTACACCATTTTGGAAAGAAATTGCATAATCTTACTCTTGCCAGATATTTTGACATGTGTTAAACTATTGTATACCTATTAAATACCATTTCTTATTTTTAGTACATTTTCTTATGAGTCAAAGTAACTATTTTATGTTTTGTTTTAAACTCCTACACTCAACACCTGGGCAGTAACGAGTACTTCCCTTACTTCTGTGACAGTACATTTTTTTTTTCAAACCAAATGTTACATATACCAATATTTTACATGACTGTGTTTTACAAATGAATGACTCAAATTTAAACATTATGAAAAAAGGTCTATTTTACAAATCAATAAGGTATATGTTTATGGTATTTGACTACGAAATAGTACATAAAAAATATGTACATGCAATTGGAATAAAAAGATACTGGATAGAAATTTTCATTTTTTTTTATCCCACATACTTTATCTAAGAGTTACACTGTCATATAACTATACAAAGCAAAGACCAACAAAGTTCGACAAATTTGTTAGTTCTCTCTTAAATCTGGAATAAAGATATTAAAGTAAAACTCAACAAGCAGTACAATATTTTTTGCCCATTCCATGTCCTTTACAATTTTGATAATGGCACTGTCGATCAGGGTCCAAACCATGAGGTCACAACCGTTCTTGTTACACATGTAAAGTTGACCTTGAATCTGATGGTAGTAGGCATGGTCAGTTTTCAAATACAAAGAATCTTCCTTGTATTCTAAAACATATAAATATCAGAAAAATTGATGTTAACATAGGTCAATTTTTTTCAAATAAATTTTACAGTGGTCAGTTATATATCAAATGAACACTGGTGTAATATAATCCTGTGTATGCTATTTTGCATATTAAGAGGTATTCAATAAAATGTACCTAAGTGAAAGTCCTTCAGACAATGGAGTGCATCTTCAACTGTTAACGAGGCAGCAGAGCAGGGGCACTTGACTTGCACTAAATCAGGAATTGCTGTCCTAGCATCTGGAGTCTGGTGAGATACTTCACAAAGGGTGTTGCTAAAACGCGGAACGGAAAACGGAACGGAACGGAAAACGGAAAATATGATACCAGTTTAAAGCCCTTGAAAACTATAAATTATACCAAAAACGATATAAATTATATGTGTTGTTCATATTTAACCTTGATTTTCAAGAATGAGTTGATCTCTTTATGTTTACCAGTATTCTCATATGAAGTTTCCAGTACAAAAGCAAAGCACAGGGTACGGAAAACATAAAACTTCATGCCGTACGCGTGGTATATATAAAACGTTGTGGTGAGATATGAGTGAATTAACTTTATAAAAGACCACTTTGATCAACATGAATAGCCAGTATTCGATATTTATACATGTATGAGCGAACACAACATAATTTTCGATGCACAGGCACCTAAAGATGATATCGTACCATGATATCTTATAACTCTGCATCCCCCACCCACCCCCATACCCCGTATTTGGTTAATTGTAAAACTAGAAAACAACACAAACCGATTGCACTGATTTATATATGCTTGAAGTATATAATTTGATATAAGATTTTCCGTTCCGTTCCGCGTTTTAGCAACACCCCTTCACAAAGAGGAGGATGCAGAACTAAACCATCTGGTGAAGCACCTGATTCATGAAACAACATTCCTAAAAGGACAACAAAAATTGTTTGATTCATTGAAGAAAATAATTCTAATCTTCTACTTTTTTCTTGAATTTATTAAATAGACACATTACCAGTTTTCTGAATAAATGCACTAAAATCATTCTGGTACTTCTTTAGCTGCAATAATGTAGCCCTCTCCGATTTTTTTTTTTTGGGGGGGGGGGGGGAGAGGGCTACAACTCCTTAGGATCTCTGTAATGGTGCAAGTGCGGGAGTGATTCACTACCGCACAGATTTCGGCTCAAATTATCAGTAAGTGGGTATTTTATTAACATATCCTACCTGGACTCATAAAATGTAGTTATGCAAGACATGAATTGATCCAAAAATATCGTATATCGGTTATTTTTCGTATATGTCAACATCACAACTTGAATTTATCCGCCATGTTTACTGACCTTGATCGATTTTATTTTGGGACAACCAATGAGAAATCGGGATCTAGGGGAGCGGATCGTTTAGGATTTCCCTTATTTTAAGCATAAATATCACTGTTTATAAAAAATTATCACATGGGATGCTTTTATTTGTCAATGTTTAGTGATATCATACAATACAAACATTTATCAACGCCGACATTTACTTTATCAAGTGCTTCTTAAATTCAAGCGCAAGTCTCTGTACATCACGCGAGAACTGTCATGGCTGCTGAAGAGAACGACTTGTAAACACGCAGATTTATTTTACTTGGTTTTCGCTTATAAAGGGCTATGATGTTGATGGTGAATAAATATTCCGTCTTATTGGAAGTAAGTTGAATGCAAAAACAATTTATTTTGCCTGCAGTCGCCCGTATCTAAAAAATATATTTGCACCATTACGGATATGCAGTGGAATTGTAGCCCTCTCCTGAAAATATCAGATTAAAAAAATCGAAGAGGGCTACATTATTGCAGCTAGTACTTCTTCAGAGCATCATACGTGAGTGTTATCCCCCATGCAATGGACTTTACACTTTCTAAATTGTAGGATGACATCAGACGCTTCTGTAAAGAAGCAGTGAGTCTGCAATAAATTGGTTTCTTATGATTAAAACAAAACAGTGTAATCTGATTTGATTCATTAAATTTCCTAACCATATGAAAATAAACATTTCACAAAAATATAAGTATAGCACTTTAGTGATAATCAAGTAAAGATGAAATCTTGGGAGGGATGATTATGATTATGTAATTCCCTTTTCTTTCTCTATCGTTCCTTCTATCTTTCTTTCATCTCTCTCTCGCTCTTAAAATTTTTTTTTACATGTATTTATATATAAGCTTGAAACTGCAAATGCATTGACGTTACGCACGGTGTTGGTGACGCTTTGAATTGATTTTCCTTCTAATGAGAATATCGGCATGCATTACTCTATAATTGTGTAAATAAATAATACCTCTTGAGTACTTTGCTTCAAAATAAATTAGAAAATCTTTTGAAACTCGGAAATATGTCATTATTTTTTATTTTATCTACATTAAGATATTAATACCTTTGATATTTATGCATAGACACACATGTAGACTGGTAACGTTTGAGGCATATACTCAAAATTGTAATATATATATGAGCGATTTATAAAATTGTAATATTGATAGTTTTTATATCAGTCGGCGGGAAAAAGCATCGTCTTTATGACATCATAAGTAATTTGACGTAAAAATCGTTAGATCTGAGTGGTTACGCCCTTTAACGCATGAAGATAGAAGGTAGACTTCGGAAAAAAAAGAGGGGATAAATTCAAAGTTTGATCAGGTAAGGGTGTTTATGGAGATGTGTTGTATATTTTTAAAGTACTGGAAATTTGATTTACAAAAATATCTATCAAAAACAGATGCTTACAAGAGTTCTTGAAAAATTTTAGGTTCATTTTTAAATCCTTTTCAAACGTTTTAGCATTTATTTGAAACTCATATCATATAAAACCCCTATGTCACGTTATGTTTTTTTTTTTTAAACATTGTGATTCCATATAACCCTTACTGTTTGATTTTTTTAGTCCGTCGTATAAATTTCAGAAAAAATATGCAATTTAATTCTGAAAGGAGTGTATCAAGGATCTGCTTAAACATTATTTTATGAATTTCAATGCATAAAAATAGCTCATGTGGAATTTCGCATGTTTTTACTTGTCCGTCACAGGAAATCTTTCACGGTTTCATGGCGTCTCATAATATAAACTAGCCCTATTTAGTCCAAGTTTATAAGACTTATTTATATTTCAATTCCTATTATTTTACTCATGGTCTATAATCTCCTACTATGCTTTTTATTAATTGGTTCCAAAACGTTTTTTGTCTCAAAATATGATACGAAATTCTAACTGAATCTCTGTCTACTCAAATTTCCTCGACAGTGTTTCTAATGTTTTTTCTGTGATTTTAAATGCTATGGTACCGAACTCGTACTCTTTGAAAACAATTATTTCAAACACTTGATAAGTTTTCAAAAAAACTCTTTATTCTCTAAAAATTATACCCATATTAGACTTTCCTGTTCCTTTGTTTTGCAACAGAAATGATATTCAATGAATTAATGAAGAAGTTTAATTGTTCTACTAATTTGTCTATCTACAGGATTTTGACGTGATCTGCACTTATGACGTCTCGCGACAAAAAAGCGCAGATGTTCACGGTTTAGATTCACCTTAATTAAGACACATCAACACATTCATTGTTAAACCCAGAAAATTGTAAATGGAGGGGATGCACAAAATGAAAGGGGGAGGGGGGTAGAGGGAATTCACAACCTGACTGCTTAGACAGTTTTTACAGTCTACATCCCATTTACATTTCCTTTTTCTCTTTGGGAGACATGGGAAAGTTTTAAGACTTACAATTCATCAGTACATACTAATTTTTATGAAGGCTTTTGTTCATTTCTCAAGTGTAGTTTTGTCTGCAAAAAGATGGAGGTGGTGGTCGTGGGTGGGTGGGGGGTTCTGACCACTCCTCTGGATCCGCCCTTGGAATGACGCACATGTTACGTATACAGTATGATTATAAACAGATAACGATATGGGACAAACTTTAAATTTTAAAAAATCGGAACAATACGTGGTATGCATATTTTTTTTTTATATTGCCAATTACCGTCGGCAAATTGAATTCAAATACCGAAAATTTCTGCTATCTAAATCAAATATGAATTTGATTACATTAGATATAAATGTATGTTTTTGCTGAATTGTGGCAAATGAACAGTTTATAAGGGGTTATTGTATACAGTTGTCATAGACAATATGAAGGGAGCGAATCAAAGAAATACATGTATAGCTTTCATTAAAAGGTAATCAATTTAAAACAACAATATATTATGCATACCAGCGCAATTTTTCATGTCGACAAAACTAAGGCCTATATACTAATTCTTCAGTGTGTTTTAAGAAAAAGAAATGGTGTTATCAATGTTGAATTGCTAGCAACGCTCCCGTCCCGTTCGATTCAGTACGATATACAGAGATGCAGAATCGGCTTTAAAAAGTTTAGGGAGGGGGGTAAAAAGTATCAAATTAAGACAATTTTTAGGACAGAAAAATTCGACGAGAACAAAAAATGTTTTGGAAATAAAGTATATTATTATCATTCAAAAACATGCATTAGTAAAGGGAAGAAAATAGTTTCTCTCTCTCTTTTATTCAGTCTTTTACATTAAAATATTTCGGGGTGAAGTCTCCTCAGAGACCCCATTTTAATCCGCGACAGGTGTGCCTACGGCTCTTTGGATTGGATAGCATAGATATTATACATTAAAATTAAGGATTACATTTTTTTTTTTAAAAGAATTAAAAAAAAAAGAATAAAAAACCCCTTATTTTTTTTTTAAACATATTTGGTAAATTTAATCTTCTTGGCTCTAAACAAAATTGATCTAAAAGTATTCCTTATTTTTCCCCTTGTTGGGGGGTGGGGTAATCTTAAATGATATTGTTTCACATGTACCTAAAAGAGGACCCCCAGCCATTATGTTGTCTATGAAACATTCAATAATAAATTCAAATTTCATTCCTTATTGGATGACATATGTATAGATATATTGTATGATAACTATTTTTATCGTTCCTTAATATATTAGTTTACATATAAATTATAAAATTTGTATCATATATTGGTACAGGTATGTCAAATTGCTCAACGATCAAAGAAAAGAGAGAGGAAATACGCAGAGAACAAAAGAGAAAATGGAAACAAAAACAAAAATTATTGAGACCAGCAAAGGAGTTGTCTCAATCTATAGCTGCTGTAAAGAAGAGGCAGCAGAGAGAGAGGCTTGCTCGGAAAAAAGAGGAAGAACGTGAAAAAAGACAACAAGCTACAGAAAGAAAGCGGAAAAGTAGGGCAGTCCTTAAGAGTAAACAGATTCAAGAGAAATTAAAGAAGGAAGAAGAACGCAAGAAAAACACAGAGAAACAAAGACGATGGCGAGAAAAGAAAAAAATACTCAAGCAACACAATCTTCCGCTCACACAAGAGGAACAACAAATATTTCAAAATAAAATGAGCAAATCCCGTGCAATAAGAAAGTTAAAGGAAGCTCTTCCTAGGACACCTCTAAAACGTATTGCAACTGTAAAGGCGTACTTGTCCTCAAAGAAATCACCCACGGTTAAGGAACTACAGCGTAGAAAGGTTGTACCATCACCGGAAGAACGCAAAGAATTGGAAATGAATGAATCGGTTATACAGGATGTGAAATCTTTCTTGAATTCGGTGAAATTTAAGAGGAGTGATAAGTCGCGGGAAGTCGTCGACATTCTAGCTGCATCTGTATCAGGACCATTAGTTCAAAAATCTAGGGCCAAAGTTGACCTTGCGAGAAAACTCGGAATGCCAGTTAGAAGGATCTCAAAGGGTGTTCGAATCCGACAACGAGTTTTGCATTCAGAACAATCATCCTTTGAGTTTACAAAAAGGAAAACAAGGTCAGATAAACTAACTGAAGAAGTTCAAAAAACAGTATATGATTTTTGGTGTCTACCTGAAAATTCGCGGCACACTGGAAATAAAACTGATGTCAAGCGTGTCCGAATAGGTCCAAAAACTTACTGTAGCCATGCTATTCAAATTCTAGAAAAAACACAGAGTGAACTGTTCATGTCTTTTAACCAACATTATCCTGAAATTCAGATTTCACAGAGAACATTTGAAAAATGTAAGCCATATTTTGTCCGATCTGCAAGGAAAAAGGATAGAACAACATGCTGCTGCAGGTATCATCTAGAGAGCAAGTTTTTGTTCAACGCTTTCAAGGCACGTAGAAATCAGTTGGCAAACGATGGGTTGCTGGACGAAAACACATTTAAGGTTTACAAAACAATTTCGGAATTATGTGAAGATACGATGTGCCATACGGAGGATGGAAATTTACATTTGAAAGACTGTTTAGAAAGAAGCTGTGAAAAATGCGGTGTTCATTTGCTGAGATTTTGTGACGCTGAATTAGATATGTGTGACGATTCGCCAGATGTAAACTGGAAAAAATTCGAGTATGTTGACATCAAAACAAAAAATGGCACCAAGAAGAAACTGACATTGGTAGACAAAATAACAAAGTCCGGTGAGATGATAAAGTATTTTAAGAAGGTGTTGGGGTTTTTCCCAGGTCATCATTTCAGGGCCAAATGGCAAACGGATCAGCTGAAAAATCTTGCCGAAAACTTACCGGAAAACGAATGTTTAACAGTTCATGATTTCTCGGAAAACTACCGATGTAGTGAGCAGATTGAAATCCAGTCAAACTATTTTCAACGAACTGAGGTTTCCATTCACATTTCACTGATTTATAGACATGCTATTTTAGAAGTTGACGGTGTATCGAGCACCCCCGATGACCCTTATATTATTTGTGAACATTTTTTTCTTATTTCTCCTGACGAAAAGCACGACCATCATTTTGTTAAATGTGTTCAGAAATTGATATCTGAATATTTGCAGTCCATCAATTATCCGCTCTCTACAATGCATGAGTTTTGTGACGGATGTCAAAGCCAATATAAAAGCAGGAACTGTTTGGGAAATCTCGTTCATTCCGTTGACGAGCTTGGATATCAGAAAATGATACGAAATTATTTTGAAAGTAGCCATGGTAAAGGACCACAGGATGCAGCGGGAGGTTTACTTAAGAACCAAGCTGATATGGCTGTTATCCGCGGGAAAGCTCAAATAAGATCTGCGCTTGATTTATTTAATTTTGCAGAGGCTAATCTCAGGACACCGCGATCTCATGCCTGCAAAAGAAGAATATTTCGATATATTGAAGAAATCCCGAGGTTTGAAGAGAACTTTCAGCCAATTAAAGGAATTCGAGCCGTACATCGAGCAGAAACATCTAAAGACGGGAAAATCATATTACGTAATATGTCGTGTTACTGCGACAGTTGTCTAGAAGGGGAAAAGTGTGAAAATTTACCTCAAGTTGGACTTTCCAAAGAAATGAAAATGAAGTCGAATAGCGAATCTACACATCAGGATCCTGACATTTCTGAGGAAGAATATACCGAGGCAGAAACACTCTCAGATTTTATTACTGAAGGAACAGTGTTTGCTGTTCTGTGCACAGGGGATGACGACAATGACTTTTATCTTTTACAAGCCACATCAAAGAGCAAAACTCTACGGAAAGCCAAAACAGACAAGTGGGGTGGATCGTTTGTTGCAGGGTCAACAGTCATCCACGGAAAATATTTTGCTAAAAAGGAAAACTCAATCTTGGACTATAAGCTAATAAAACGCCCAGTAGCCATGGTTCCAAGTGCATCTGTACTGTTTATATGCCAAAATGTATCTATACAAAACGAAATTCTTCACCTAACCGAAGAGGAAAATGAAGATATCCTGGAATGCGTCGATTTGTGCGTGTTAACACACTAAATTGATATTAAATGGCATCTAAATATTTTTTAGAATTGATTTCAAACCTGTATTTTTAACAAATTTAAAGAAAGTTAATTAATACGGTAAAGAACAGTTTTGCCTGTTTTTGACATGAACGTTTTTCACGCTACATAATAAACATATTCACTCATTAAACTTCCAGTTTCTTTTCATTTTATTTTATTTTATTTTTTTACTTTTAACATAGAAATGGATTTAAGGGAACTCTAAATTCTAATGAAAACGTTTTTTTTTACTTTGAGATCTTTTATATAAACGTGTAGATACTTCAATTTCAACAAGGGTACTAGTACCTAGCTACAACATTCACCAAGAAAAAATATATAAAGATGTTTAAAGAAAATGAAGTATTCGCTCATGTTTACGTACATGCAATTAATGTATTCAGGGGTTTTTTGGTCAATATTACTTTCATTTTATTTCAAATTGTGTCATTTACTGAAGATTTCCATTTATTCCAACTTACATAAAAGGGCAGATCACTTTAAATTCATAAAACATATGGATTAGAACTCTTCAGTATGCAGTTAAACCTTTATGAAAGTTTTACTAAGTCGCTGATTGATATGAGTAATTTTTACGTCCCGTTTACGTGACGTTAAACGTCATTTATAACGTTACCAAATGTGACACCAACACCGTGCGTAACGTCACTACCGTTTATGCTTAAGATTTAGCTCTGCTCCAAAGTTGGAGGCAGTTATCCTATTTTTCCTCATGACTGCCCACATTGGATTTGTTCACTGCATTTTCGTTGCCTCTGCAGTGTTCCTGATAATCTCATCTGACAGAATCATTGCACGGTGTAACCAAGCAAGTGGAACATCTGCGTGTATAAACTCTGGATTGGTCAAAAGATCCTCTATAATAGGAGGAGGAGGATCTGGCACCTGTGGCTCTGGTTGCAGAATCCATTCCATAGCTAAAATATTAAAAACAATTTGTTGATGATGTAAATATTTCTTAAATCTTCAGATGGTACATGACAAGAATATCTGAATCATGAAGCAGGTGAGGCTAAACATAAAAAGAAGTTTTTATAGTAGCATTCCTACAAACATTACAATAACCAATATTATTACTTGTATTAAAAAATACAAGTACAAGACAAATACAGTACATGTGCTGAAATGTACATATACATAACAAAACAAATAACCAAACCACAACTAAATACATTAAATGTTCCAATTTATACCAATAAATCTGTCATGTCTGGCCAATACCTGATGAAGGAAATTTCTGTCCATATCATCAAATGGCCTGTCTAATGCTCTATTCTTTTCATTAAAAACAAACAGAGAGAATGATCCCAAAATAGCTATGAGAATATGTGGCATGTTGAGGTGTGCATTGTGACTGAAGGATCCTAAATTAGAATTTTATGTGCCTAAATCTACGATTTTTACCTGTATTCTGGGTGACTTGTAGGAAACAACTCATCCATAGTTTTAGTATTTCTTTTTATGGATGTATTGGGATTTTTGAGCCACCCATACTTTACGTCTGTTTTGCTAACAGAGCTAATGAGAATAAAAACAGCAGTGATTCCAACAAAAAATATGCACAGATTAGAAAAAGATGAACTGTTACTGTTTTTGTATACAATGCTCAAATATACATGTAATCAGAAGATTATTTAGGACAGGCCCTCATCACACTTGGTCCATTGAACATCATCACATTAAAATTCTATTTACACTATCTACATTATAATTTACTGAGGAAAACATTTTCAAATTAATCTCATTTTACAATATGAGACGAGAACGAGACTTACAGTCCCTATTATCAGCTCACAATGAGTATGAAAATCGGCTATGGATCTGATGTACAGTAGAAACATGTTTAATTTGTCGTGATAATTAAACAGGGGTTAATTGTTTTCCTCAAAAGCAAAATATGTGTTCACCTGTACTATGTATTAATGGTATCCTTTGTTGATTTTTTTTTGGTTAAATTTATGCCCCCCTCACCCCCCCCCCTTAGAAGAAGGGATGGCATATTGCTTTGCTGCTGTCGATCGGTCGGTCTGTCTGTCCACCAACAGTTTCCGTTCATTTTCTTAGCAGAGGTTGCACATACTGACATAAAATTTGGTATACAGATTTATTATAAGAATATATAGGTCAAGTTTTGTTTTGGGTACGTTCGAGCGATTTTTGACAGAGTTATGCCTCTCGGACTTAGAAAAATTCCAATTATTTGCAGTTTCCATTCATTTTCTTTGCAGAGGTTGCACGTACTGAAATGAAATTTGGTATACATATTCATCATTAAATATCTAGGTCAATTTTTGACAGAGTTATGCCCCTTGGACTTAGAAAATTTTCAATTATTTGGGAGGGGGGAGGGTATAAATGTTTCACAAACATCTCTTGTTTACATTGTATTTTAGCATTACTTTTTCTTTTTTCGCTGTCGTTTGATCTGCCGATATGATCTTTGCTTTGTTCTTTGCATGATTAAAAATATATTTATTAATCAAAAATCTGAAATAGGATATGAAAGATAAAAATATGATTATTTCCTGAAATAAAAGGGATCTGAAAAGTTATTCATGACATAAATATAAATGTACCTCCAACTTATACTCATAGTTCCCTTTCTAAGGAAGAAATTCTTCAAAATCATATGTCAGTTTTGAATATTTTCAATATTCCAAACAACCAAAATGAATTTGAATTACCATATTTATATTGGATTCCGAAACTTCATAAAAATCCTTACAAACAAAGATACATAGCGGGTTCCAGTAAATGTTCAACCAAGCCTCTATCTTTACTCCTCACTAAGATATTAACAGTGGTGAAGGAGAAACTTCAAGAGTACTGTGCAACAATATATTCGAGAAGTGGTGTAAATCAGATGTGGATACTTAAAAATTCCAAGGAACTTTTGGAAAATTTGAAATCACAAGATTTTACCAAAATCAACAGCTTAAAAACTTTCGACTTTTCAACTTTGTACACAACCATTCCCCACGATAAATTAAAGACCAGGCTTTTTGATATCATTGACAGCTGCTTTTTCAATAAAAATGGAACTCGTAAATATACTTACCTTGTCATTGGTCATTTGCAAAATTATTTTGTTAAAAAACATTCTGATTGTTCACACAAGTACTCTGAAGTTGACATTAAAAAGATGCTTGAGTTTCTGATTGACAATATCTATGTGGTTTTTGGAGACCAGGTCTTCCAACAATCTATTGGAATTCCCATGGGTACCAATTATCAGCAGACATTTTTTTGTATTCACACAGTCTGACACATCTGTTTCATATTTGGATATTTTACTTGAAAAAGACGTTAATGGTAATCTAGCAACCAAGCTTTATGATAAACGTGATGACTTTAACTTTTCAATCGTCAACTTCCCTTACTTATGCAGCAATATACCTTCATCACCTGCATACGGGGTATATATCTCTCAGTTGATTCGATACGCAAGAGCATGCTCTACGTATGTACAATTTCTAAAACGAGGTAAATTATTGACAAATAAGTTGAAACAAGAATATCAGCTGTCTCGTTTAAAGTCATCATTTCGTAAGTTCTATGGTCGATACAATGACCTTGTCAGCAAATACAATTTATCATTGAATGAAATGCTGACTGACGTTTTTCACACTAATTGTTAGGTCATTATTTACACACTGAATTGTCGACGGATTTTTCCGTTATTTCCCGATCATGACAAGGAGCACACGGCGGGTGTGACCGGTCGGCAGGGGATGCTCACTCCTCCATGGCACCTGATCCCACCTCTGATGTTTGGAGGTCCGTGTTTGCTCTGCTCCTATTTTGTATTGATTAATGGACTTTTGAGCTTGAATACTGTTCGTTATCTCCATATATTTCATTTTAAGAACATTCCCATTGTCGGATACTCATGGTTGATGTCGTCCCAAGTTACTTATCATCCGTGGGCATACTCGTAGAAAACTAATATGCGCGGGTCATTTGATTGGCTGCTGCACAGAATCGCGATGACATATCAAAGAGTCACAGTTTACGTTACGTACGTATATTCGGAAATGACAATCACTTTTTCGTATTTAACACACCGATTGCAAACAAATCCACTCGCCAGTGCATTTTGCAGTTTGAGAAAGGAAACTCTTTATTATTCCTGAATGGTATTTTATGCCAGTGACATGTTCGACGTGTCTTTTTTTCGTTTTAAAACAAAATTCGCATGTTTTAACGGTGTCACGATATTATAATAAATATCAAACTTATAGACGTATTTTCAAAATTGAGAAGTTCCAACTTTCTGATTGGTTGCCTATAATCGACGAATTTGCATAATAAACGACCTCACGATATTTCAGCGAGTTTGCCCACGGGTGATGAGTAAAAGACGACATCACCCATGGGTATCCGACGATAAAATATTCTGTTCAAGACAATATATTTTTGTAGCTCTATATGTAATATATTGTCATCATTTACGTGAGTTTTAAACAAAACTGCGGTAATAAATAACAATTCATGACTATATTCTTCATAAGAAAATCAACTTCGTATAATGGACATTAGGCTGTCCAAAGTTAGTTCTATGTTTAACGTCACCTAAAATTCAAAACTTAAGAGGGAGGGAAGAAAAAGTTTATAAAAATCCCCAAATTTGGTTTGAAATACATATTTAATCATATTAATCTATTCAGTACCAAAAAATATTCTGTTGAGTAATGGACATTTGCGAAATATCGAACAGTGGAGCTCAGACTACATACCTCAGACTTAAAAAAAGAGAACATCTCACAGTGTGAAATTTATAAATAACTTTTTTCCCCCAAGTTTTGCAATGATATCTCCACATTTGCACTGAACTATTCGTTTCATTCGCAAATTTCTTTGACATGTATAACTAAAACCAATTACGGAAAATGTATTTTACTTGAATATTTCAGTCAAACTCCTCAGAATCAAAAATGCTGGGAGCCTGAAGTAGTTACAAATGGGAACTTTTTTTTTAGTAATAAAAGCATTGTGCGCTTCTTGGTTTTCCGTGACCAAGGAGAGTAAGGGTTTTTTTCTACCTCTCCTACTAGCCTCGTTTCTCCTTTTTTGAGTAGATGAAGCTATGTGGATTTTCGATGATCCACTAGCGTGAGAAGTACTAGTGGAAGATGAAAGAATACACTCTTGGATTTTGCACACATTGCTCTTCTGCAGACAAACTTGAGCTCAAATTTTGAACAGCGATGTTTCGATGATCGTTCTTCACAGCTTCTGTCCCTATAGCCATGCTCCGTATTTTTAAAATTAATTTACGGTTTAAAAAAAACATTTTTTTTAATGCAAAATATCGTGTGTATTTTTGTACATGTGTGTACGGTGGGTGTTGAACTTTTTTTGTAACAATTTCAACCAAAAATTCAATTTTAGGTCACTCAGGTGACTATTGCTATCCGTTTTTGCCCGTCGTCGTGAGTTTTGAATATTCAACTTCAAACAAAAATTGTGAATTTCATGGTCCCTGCCCCCCCCCCCCCCCCCGGGGCCCGAGGGGTGGGGCTAATACTACCAAAATTGATGCAATCTTTAAAAATCTTCTTCTTTTCTCCTGGACATCAAGCAGTCAAACTTTTGGCATGATTGTAATTAGCATAGGGCCCCCCCATCAAAATACGAAATTCATGGCCCCAGGGTCAGGGGTTCTGGTGCTAGGGTGGGGGTATAAAGATCATAAAGTGAAAGTGTATTATTTCCTTGAAAATCTTCTCTGCTCCTGGGTATTATTGAAACAATCTAAGTCCATGGTTAAGATAAGCATTTGATGCCTTTTCAAAAATTGTGAATTTCATGGCCCCTGGCCTAGGGGCTCTGGTGTTAGGGTGGTGCTCTATTGATTATATAGTGAAAATGCATTAATTCTTTGAAATTCTTCTTCTCTGCTCCTGGATATTATTAAAACAGACAAAGTGCATGGTCATGATGAGCATTGATGCCTTTTCCAAAATTGTGAATTTCATGGCCCCCTGGGTCAGGGGTTCTGGTGTTAGGGCGGGGCTCCATTGATAATATAGTGAAAATGCATTAACTCTTTGAAAATCTTTTTCTCTGCTCCTGGGTATTATTTAAACAAACCAAGTCCATGGTCATGATAAGCATTTGATGCCTTTTCCAAAATTGTGAATTTCATGGCCCCTGGGTAAGGGTTTTTGGTGGTAGGGCGGGGCTCCATGAAAATGCATTAACTCTTTACCCCTTTCGCTGTTTGTGACGTAATGGTAGCATTACATTTATCAATTTTTGATGACGTTATCCTTTTCCCCGCAGCGCACTTGCGATTACGTGCAGAAAAGACGCGATTCCGAATGTAGAGTTTACGGTGTGTATGTAGCATTTTTCATTGTAAAATATGTTCATTATTGCAAATCATTGTCGTAATTTGCGCATCCATTTGTAACTTGAATTCAAATATTTTTAATGGTCATTTTATCCTGTTTATTTTGTTTATATCATTCTTTTGTGTGGATGGTGTTATACATTTGTAATAAAATATCAT